GGAGGCGGGGTTACCAGCCGAGATGGGCCGTTGCTCTGATCCAGTGCAGCGGGTGGGGCTGATGTCCTGGACTAGACGATCCCATACAGGAAATGTGTTTCTCTGAAGTCCTGCCACCCCCTTGTCAGAGGGGAAGGTGGAGGTGCCCATTGCGATGGGGGAGAGGGAGAGGGGGAGCGGATGCTGGTCTCCCCAACCCACCTGCTATCGTCCTGCCTCCGTGGTGGGAAGACGGGCGGGGGGGGGGGGGGGGGGGGCGGCGGGGCGGGGGGCTCTGAGCACTCATTCTCGTTTGTCTTTCCAGTTTGCTAACCTGACGAGCTCCTTGAATTCTCTGGACGCAGACAAAGGTAACTGCCCACCTGCCGCGTCTCCCCGAATGGGGCCATTGCCTTTAAGCTGCCAAGAGCCGCAGTTCCCGGGGGTCCAGCTCCTCGGTCCAGCAGCAGACGCCACCAGGGCCCTGAACAAAAAAATTCAACCCCCCCTACCCCCCCATATCAAGTCCCCTCCAGTCGGGCCGCAAAGGGGCTTCAGAGGAGACGCGGGCCCCAGCTCCCCCATCACGCTAATCTGCCGCAGGCCGCACCTATGGGACCATGGAATAGTTAGAAGGGACCGTCCTGATTGGTCAGGACTGGGAGAGGGGGTGTGGCCATGAGGGGCGGGGCCAGAGAAATCCAGGGTTTCGGGCACAGACAGTGCAGCCCCCGGATTCTCAGCACCCTCCCTCTCTCGTTCCTGATCTCTCTGACTCAGATGAGGAGGAGGAGGAAGAGGAGGAGAGCGACGACGAGATGCAGCAGGAGATTTCCCTCAACTCCAATGACTCCAGCAGCCTGACAGCCGAGCCCCTGGAGCCCCCCTCCAAGCTCTCACGGACGGACTCCAGGGGGATCTTTGTGCAAGCCCTGCCTTCCAGCTAGAGGCCAGAGAGACGCCTGCGTGGGCCTGGAGTCAGAACCGCCCAGCCAGAGCCGAGTCCTGTGTCCAGTTCCTCCCGGCTGCTGCCTAGCGATAAAGATGAGCTATTCCTTGTCTCCGAGTGGTATGCAAAGCGCTTTCATTTCCGACCCCTGCCCCGGCTGCCCCCCTCCCCAGCGCGGGTGCTTTGTGGGCAGCGGAAGGCTTGTGCAGTGAGAGTGCCCCGTTACGGGGGAGGCCATTTAACACCACTACGCCCCTCGCCCCCGCTCCGACCCCACGGGCTGGGTGGCTCCTGCAGGGCTGCTTTCCTGCCATGTGGGGGGCAGCTCCCTCCCCAGCCGGGCACAGGGCTGCTAGCCTCCAGCTTCGCTGCTTTTTACTTTCCCGAGATGCAGCGTCTGCCCTTTCCCAGATCTGGCAGAGAGCATCATGGGACTTCTTAACAGGAGGCAAGTACCTGTCTCCACCCCCCGCTGGCCGCAGGCTCCCCTCACCTGCCAGCCCCTCCTAGCTGTCAGAGCCGCGGTCCAGCGGGACGATTCACTTGGACTCTCACCCAGGCAGCGATTGGACCAGCTCCCCTGTCTACACGGGGGCCAGTCCCTTTTGAACCACCCCCCTGAGAAGGCACCAAGCCAAGCACAGAGTCCTCCCGCTGGCAAACTCCTTGCACAGCCAGTCTGGCTCCCAGCCGGCCCGCTCCCAGCTTCCCCCCGCCAGGGAAGGTACGGCAAGCCCGTGCCAATGGGCGGGCTGCGGCTCAGCGAGAGCAGGTGTAGCGTCCTTTAGAGGCTTTTCCTGGGGCCAGCAAGGACGAGAGCTGCACAATCAAAGGGACGTGTCCCCTCGTTTTTAGTGGCTAAGGGACTCGTGCAGGGGAGCCCCCAGCGGGGCCTGTGGGGGCTGGCTGTGCTAGCCCCTGGCTGACGTCGGAGGTCATTTATAAATGGCAAAGGCACAGTGGCCCGCTCTGTGTCATCAGAGCGCTCGGCCGCCCCGGGGAAGGCTCCAGGGCCCAGCCCCTTCGCTCCCCGCACTGCTCAGCGCTGCCCCCTCCCACCAGCCGGCCAGCCGGCCTGCACGGGGCTGAAATCAGGAGTTCCTGGTCAGCTCCAGCCTGGGGGGCGGGTCCTGCTCTGTGCAGCCTCAGGGGTCGCTCGCCATACAGGGGACGTTCAGCAGAACCCACGTGCCTTAGGGAATATGCATTTGTTGTGCCATACGCTTCAGCTGCCGGAGCATCCCCAGGCTGCCGGAGAAGCCCCGGCCACGAGGCTCCTTAGAGAACAGGCTGGGGCGGGGGAGATGGATGGGGGCTGAGCGGATATTTCTCCTCTCGGCCGCAGTGGGGGATTACGTCACAGAACCAGTGGAACTGGCAAAGCCACGGCCAGAAGACCAGCGGCGTCTCTTAGTGGGTGAGAGCAGGAGCCGTGGCAAAGCCGCCCTGGCAGCGATCATATCTGGGATCACTGAGTCTGTCGCAGCCCCCTGGGGAGTTACGTCCCCCTCCCCCCCGCACAATCCCTCACGGCTTGGTTCTCCTCCTCCTTCCCCCTCCCGCACATCACGCTACCGCTTGGTCCTGCTGGTTCCAGGAAGGGGGGCGGGGAATCTCCCTCCCCCCCGGCCTATTTCATTCCTGGTCTTGGATCTCTTCTCTCTCTCTTGTGTATTTTCTCCCCTCTTGGGGTTGGGATCTCAGCCCTCGACATTCCCATCCTCACACAGAAGCTGTTCTCCCAGCGGCTCTGCTTAAACCCTCCCTGGTCGACCCAGTGAGCTCTGGCTGCACGTGCTAACAGCTGTCTGAGATCCCGTCTCTGTCTGGGGCTCCCGCTCTCTGTGTCTTCCCAGCCGGCAGGAATAGGCGTCTCCAGAGAGCAGAGCTGTTTCACGGGCAGTTCTTCGCTCCCAGAGTCTCTGGCTACGTGCGTTCGTTCCGGGACAGCAGCTTTGTCTGCAGTGCAGCCCTAGTGCTCGTGCCCTGTCTGCACTCTGCCCACGGTCCTGGCTCTGCTAGATCATCCCACGAAGGGCTGGGTCTCTGCTTCGCGCTCCAGTGGCCACGAGACACAGAGACCTCCCCCGGCCCTCCCCACAGGGATCCCCTGGCCAGTCTAGCTGCTCTCAGCTCTCCCTCCTGGCCTGCATGTGCCAGGCAGGGCAGAGCGATGGCCGGCCCCAGGGAGGGGCTGCTCGGCCAAATGGCACACGGCCTCCCGGCTCTGCCCCTGCTAGTGCTGCTGGGCTGGCAGCTCCCTCCGCTTGGCCAGTGCTCCCCGTGAGACATACTGGGGGCCTCTTAGCGTCTCTTCCACAGCACCCCCTTGCGCACCGTCCCAGGATGCTCTGATTTCGGTCAGGCAGCCGGCCCAGCCTTTCCTATTCCCCTTTCTGCTGGGGCCCGTGACGTCCCAGGGGACAGACCTAGGCGAGCAGGCCAAGACAAGCACTCCCGCTGGGGCAGCCTGCCGTGCTGACAGCAAGCCCCACGGGCAGCTGGAGCATTGAGCTCCGCTCAGGCTGTAGGACATGGGGTTCAGGCAAGAGCCGGGCTGTAACGAAGGGAGGGTTCTGAGCAGCATCGCAGGCCTGGGGGGCAGTTTAGAATGTCTGAACCCCCACGTTGGGGGCTTCCTGGCAATCATATTCATCCCCAGATCTTGACCTACCCCCTGACCTCTCCCCCCAAGATTGTAAGATGCCCTCTGACCTCAGGTGGCTGGAGGGTGGGAATAAGAGACTGTTCCCTGCTCTGGAGACATGTTGTGGGGTGAGAGCTCTGCTGCTCTCTGCCGGGGAAGCCCTGGCCACGGATTCCCGCAGATCCAGCCCCAGGGGCAGAGCACACCCCTGAGCTCCTGCTGCTCCCCTTATTCATTCCCATTGTGTCTCCGCTAATCTCCCTCAGGGTCAGGGCCTTTCTACTCTGAGGGCCAGGAGAGCTGTGGAAGGCTGGGGCCTCCCTCAGTGACCTCCAGCCCCCAGCAGGGACCCCCCTGCCAGCCACCAGCCCAGCACTGCCAGAGCAGACAGGGCAAAGCGGGTGAGTGAATCCGGACAGGGCATCCGCAAGGTCTCAGCTGGTCAGGCTGGAGTGAGGCTATGGCATGGTGCAGCATTTTCCCCTTGGCGGTTCTCCAGCGGGTACGGGGGCTTCGGCTGCTGGGGAGGATACAATCTGTCCCTCGCTCTCCCCCAGCCAGTCAGAGGGAGGGGCTGGGTTCTGGAATAAGGGAAGTTTCCCTACACCCCCACCCCGGGCTCCTCTCACGGCTCCCAGGAGTCCAACCCTACACGCCCTTTCCTGAGATTGCACAGACCAGAGCGCCCCCTGCTGTCCTGCCTGCACAGCTCAGAGCACAGGACGTGCCTAGCTAGCAGAATGCAGCCGGTTCTCTGCCCTTGTCCCCGCTCCAGGGCCAGGCTCCGTGTTCCCCTGCGGGGCCGGTTTTATTGGCAGGGCAGGTGGCTCCAGGAACCCACTCCTTGTTCAAGTGCAATTCCAGCTGGGTGCTGCACGGCTTTCGGCCAGGGCTCTTCCATAGGAGTCTCCAACTCCCAAGGACCTGCCCTGGGGGCCCAAGCAGACCCAGCACCTCCCCTGCCTGCTGGAGCTGCTGAGCGTGCTCGGTGTCTCCACGGCAGGGCCCTAACCAGGTGCCAAATCCCCCCCCTCCCCCGAACAGGCTGAACCCCCACAGCCGTTGATTTGCTGAGAACTGCCCCAGGCTGTAGCTCCCAGGGCTAGGGCAAGGCCCATTCACACCCCCTAGTGGAGAGAATCAGGAGAACTGCAGTCAACACCCATTCTTCCAGCCCCCAGCCCCCCCTCATTTAGATACTAGCCAGTTTCCATTGTTGCATGGTTCCAGGCCGCCCCCGGGCGGCTCACAGCAAAGGGTCCTTGCTTTGCAAACACCTTGTTGCCGCTTGTCTGTGTCTTCTACAGCTTCCCCCTCAGCTAGCAAAATGTCCCCATGTTTCCTATTGCAAACCCCGCAAGAGGTGACTCGACCCTCCCACTGTGAAAACGGCTAACGTCAACACAGAGTTCTCACGCCCCCCTGGGCCGCTGATTGCCACAGGCCCGCGCTCAGAGCCACTGAGAGCTTTAGACCAGCCCAGGGGCCAGCGAAGACCTATTTCATACCCCATCAGGGGCTAGAGAAACATACACCAGCGCTGGCATCCCTGGTCCAGCACATGGAAGGATGCAGCAGCCACCAAAAACGTGAAGAAAGAGGTAGTTTCGCTTGGTTAGCTTCCAGCCGAGGCGGTAGGGCTAGATGAGGGTAGCTGCGCCCACCCCCTACGACCCTCCTCTGCAGTTTAGCTCCCACCCTGGCTTTGGCTTTGGGAACGTTCAAGTCCTGTCCAGTCACGTGGCCATTCAGACTTGTGGCATGACCCCGCCGCTAAAAGCTCCCCGCGCTCCCCCTCCTGCGCTGCACCCCCCCAGAGCAGGACGGCCAGACACACGATCTTGCCTTTCTTTTGAGTTGCTGCCTTATAAAAATACCCTCTGCCCAACCCATGAGAGATGCCCTCTGCTCGGGTAGCTTCTGGTCTGGCTGCGAGACAGTTCAGTCAGTGGGCGGGACTGGGATCGTGCTTAGCCCCTGGCTTTGCTCTCAGAGAACAGCAACATTCTCCTTGGCGTCCCTCCTCTACGCTAGTAACCAAGAGCCCACCAGTCAGTCTCGGCTACTCTCTGCTCTCCAGAAACCAAGCTCGACTCTACCGGTTTGTAATTGAATATTAGATATTCTAGTTTTAAAGAGGAAAAGAAATCTGTGCTTTTGTATGTAATGACTAATCCTTACTCTATAAACCACTTCAATATTGTGAGATTGGTGAAGCTATAAATTACTTGATATTTTTGGGTTTTTTCAACCATCATGGCCTTATTTGTTCACTTTTTCCAGTGGTTTAAACCTGTGAGATAGATGTTTATTGCAAAAATCTACATATTGTATAAAATATATATTTTGTGTCAATCTTCTGTGCAGCAGCAGGAGCTGTGGGCTGCGCTGCAGCCTTCACGTGGAGTGTGAAGAGCTTTTGTAGGTGTCCCGGCCCAGGAGATGGGCCGTGCCTGTGATCGGATGATGTAGACGTGTGTAGTCTAGAGTGCAAACGCTGTTTTCTACCTTTTGTAGTTCTTTCTTAAGAGAAATAAATTCAGCCGTGTTCTTTGCCTCCGGCGCCACTTGGTTATTGGCAGCGGGAGCCGCGCTCGGGAAGCTTTCAGCTGTGCTGCGGGTGAATGCTTCTCGCTAATCCCTGAGAGCACGGCCTAAGTCACGTGGTGCTCGGCACACCTGCAAGGTGGAGCTGGGAAGTGATCCCAGAGCTGCGCGGCACGTGCACTCTAGGGCCAGGCACTCTCCCCTGCGCCCGCAGCAGAAAGCGACGCAAGCCGAAGTCTTGGAAATTAAAATGTTTATTACAGGGAAACAAAAGCCCATTTGAGGAGAAACTAAATGATTAACAGTGGGGCCGGGGACTGTGGAATGATCCACAAAGTGTGTGGGCGGGGGAGAGGTGTGTTATCTGGACTCAAAGGAAAAACCTCCTCCACTGGAAAAAGTGCCTTAAACACTGAACAGAGAATGACACTTAAATATACATCGAACAGAACCGGGCCATCTGGCCCCCTGGAGGGCGGGAGATTTGTTCTGCCACAGGATCACGCTACGCCCAGGGGAAGCTGGAATGCTGCCCTCTCGCCCCCTCAATGACACCTGAACGGTCCCGGGAGAGGGGCTGCGCGGGGCCTTCTCCCCAGGGGCCAGGCGTGCTGCTGACGGCCGGGGCAGTATTAAAAGAATTCACCGTCTCCAGAAAGCAGGGAGATGGTTAAAGTGGTGTCCCGAGCCGAAGGAAGAGGCTGCCCTGTTCAGAAAGGGTGGAGCCAGGGCATGTGACTGCTAAGTCACCGCAGATCACGGTGACGAGGGTCAGGTCCCCTCCCGCAGCATCAACTGAGCACGTGCACCACAGGAAACGCCGCCGGCAGAGGCAAGAGCGTCACGGTCCAACCCCAGAGGAGACGCTGGGCTGGGCCCTGGGATGACAGGCATTCCCCCTCCCCTAGGGATACTCCTACTTACATCCACTTTCAGCAAAAGCACGAGTTACTCTAATTAAAAAAAAGGATGAAGAGAAATTAAAACCCAACGAAACTCAACCAGGAGGAGGTAGTTAAATCCGACGTACAGTACGGCAGGAACCAAACCAGGCTCGCCTCCGCGTCACAAGACGATCCAGGTGTAGCGCTCGTTGTCTGCTAGGACCTTCAAGGAGCAGCCTAGAGAGAGTAAAGAGCGGATGGGTTTAAGGAGCTGCTCCTCGGTGGCCATTTCCCCACTCCCAAGGCTGGGTGGATGAGGGCGGGGCGGTCGCACCCGGGGCTGCGGGAAGGATCCAAGTCTCCCCACTACACCGATGGCAAAGTAAGGTGGCAGGATCCGCGTAGGAAGCAGGGCCTGGGCCAGGAGTCAGTGTGGCTACAAGCCACCAGGCAGCAAGGGGTCAAGCCAGGGGCACGCTCAGTGCAGCGCGTGGGTCCTCCCTCCCAGCAGTGCAGGAGATGGTCCTGCTGGGGGTTCGCGATTAAAGCCCAGCGTGGCATGCTTGCCATGCCTGCTCTGCCGTCCTCTGCCTACTGACACGGGCACAGCTCTGCCTGGCTCGGCCGCCAGCCAAGCGGGGAACTCCGTCCGTGGGGCCGGAGGCTTCTGGCCTGCCCGTGCTCAGCTGCGGAGTGAGGAAAGACACGGGGCGCAGGGGGAGGGAGCAGCAGGCCCTGGAGAGATGGGACAGAGTCCTGCACCCAGACAGCGGGGACCAACTGCCCCCAGAACAGCCAAGGCAGCTGCACCCGCTTCCCCCCATTCCCATTGGGGTTCCAGGCATGACCCAGAGCTCCGGCTAAGGGATCAGCTGGGTCCAGGCTGGGCGGGGTTTGGTCGGACACCACCTGCACCAGGACTGCTGGGGGTTCGGCTTCTGTGTCTAACCCATCTGCCCAAGCTTAGCCAGGGGCCGGCTGCAGGAATCCCTGGGGCGAGGGTCTCGGCTGCGTGAGCCCAGCGGCCCCTTCTGGCTTTCACCGATACACAGGGATCTAGGAGCACGCAATTATTTCTGGTGGGGAGTTTAACCGGGGGCCACGCAGCGAAGAGCCATGACTGGGCAGATAGCCTCCTCCTGGGGTAGAGGGCAGGGAGGGACGCCCCCACACATGGAGTCTGGGGCAGGACGCTGTCTAGCAGAAAGTAACCATCCTGCAACACGCCAGGGAGCTTAGAGGCCCCCCTGCTGGGCTCTGGAGGGAACCGCGCCCTTGGCAGCACAGCCCAGACACGCTTCGCCTCCCCTGAGCTGGAACGGAGAGATCCAGCCTCCAGCAGCACAGCGCACGGCTTGCCCAGGCCCCAGGCTGCTGTAGCGCCACGTTCCTGCTGGCGGGGGCGCAGAGCACAGGTCTGGAGCCAAGCGGCTCCATGGCCCGCCCAGGCAGGCTGACAAGGCTGGGAGAGTAGCAGGCCATTGCATGTCAGCGGACTGGGCAGCAGAACACAGCGGGGAAGCCGCGTGCTGAACGGGATCTTCCAGCTGAAGCAGGCAGCCAGCCGTGCTGCGTCACACTGCTCAGCCCCGTCTCACTCACACAGGCCTCGCTAGGGCATCCCTCGCCTTCGGCAGGGCTCGGCTGCACCCCCGAGGGGAAGCAAGCCGCCCCTCCTCCAGGGCTCAGCGCCCGGCCCGGGGAGGGGCGTTTACCTTTATGAAGTGCCTCGTTCGTCATTCTGTTGACGTATCGCCCGCTGCTCTCCGGCACCAGCCACTTCATCACCATGTCCACGCAGCTCTTCCGGTAGGAGCTCCAGACGCTGCCACTGCGGACAGGGGACAGCACCGTGAGTGGGCAGAGCAGGGGCCCGCCCTGGGCCGAGGCCCCCAGCCTGTGATTTTCCAGAGGCAGTGCCCTGGGCGGTTTGTATTAGTGCTGTCAAACACAAGCGCCAGGCAGTTCTGGGGCTGATCAGATCCCCGGAACGCCCCACAGCCCCAGGTCCCTCCGGACGCAGCCGCCCCAGCGCCAGCTCAGGGGAGGTGGAAGGGAGTTGTGTTCCCAGGGGAGAAGGCTGGAAGGCAGGGCCACTTTGGTTGGGAAAAGGGAGGTTTGAACTGGGGTGGCAACAGGCTCAGTGAAGGGCTCTTGATTCTAACCAGCAAAGGTCTGACGGCGCCAGGATCTGGGACTCGGACCCAAGCCCAGCTCTCTGGAGTGAGTGACTTTCCCCAGCTCACTCCAGCAGGCACCAGCCACGGCCGCTGCCACACACCTGGTCTGCCCCTTGACTTCTGTGAGGTCTCCCACGCTGACGGTGATGAAGGTGCCAGTGTTCAGATTCCAGGCGACTTTCAGGCTGGTGTGATAGGTCTTTGGTCTGGAGGGGAGGCACAGGACACACACCGGCCTGGGCAGGTTAGAATAGGGGTCGGCTAGAAATTAACCATTTCCTCCCCAAGCCCCACGTACAATCTGGGCAGTTACCAGGACCCCTGGAGCCCGCTAGGGACTGAGGTTGGGTGGAGGGGTTCTGGCTACTGGAATTCCTCCCAGACTCCCCCGGCATCTGCTCTCCATGACCTCCCTTCACGCCAGTTCCTGCCCCTTCTGTGGGGACTGGGTCCCCTAAAAGCACACGCCGAGGGGATGGAGAGACGTCGCGGGGGGAGTTTCGGCAGCGGCTGTACTCACCTAAGCTGGCCCTCTTCGTCAGGAGCTGGGAAGGCCAAGAGCAATAATCCGATATTGATGATGACTTGGTTGGTTTCTGGACACACCTACAGGGAGGGGATTGGACAGTTGACTCGGGGAGGTTACAGAGCCTGGCAGAGATCACTGCGGAGCACTGCTGGGCGTGGATCACGCTGGGCAGGGCGGATATGGGTACCAGGCAGAAGGAAGGGTGGCCTGGTTGTATTTAGCCCTGGATGGTCCCCTCCAGAGCCCAGGGTTCTCTGAACCGAGTACAGCAGCAGCCCAGGGCAGCTGATGTGCACAGAGACGCCTGTCCACTGGGATTCCCACCACACACCGGGCACTGCAGAGTCAAGACAGCAGAAACGTGAGCAAGATCTGAAGCAGCACAACCAAAGAGAGGGGCCTGACCCCTCCTCCCCTCAGATTAGGTTAGTCAGGAGCGCCAACAGCCGCCCCCCAGAGCAGTCAGCAGCCAGGTGCTGCAGCAGGAAGTGAGATCCCCACCTCCCGAAGAGGGAACAGGTGCCAATCACTCCCCTCTGACCCCCCATCCCAGTGCAGCAGCCAGGGGAAATGCAGAGGCTGACCCTGTCCCTTCTCCGGGTTCCTGGCCAGACCATCTCTCCCTCCCCACCCGGTTCCCCACGGAGCCCCTTCAACTCTGCCACCTACAGAAGGACCCAAGAAGGATACAGCTCCCAGGCGTGCAATGCTGAGCGGCCACGCCCTGTTACAGAGGAGGGCTACTGCAATCGGTTTCATTTCAGAGGCAGCACTACGGCTTCCGGCCAGGTCCTTGCTCCAGTATGTAGCAGCCAACAGAGAAGTTTGTTGATCCTGCTGGAGGAGCGGCCGGCGGAGCCACTGGGGGTTTCGCCTCGGTGCTGGCTCTCAGCCCAGGCAAGGCGCTGCGGCTCTCAAGTCACGCAGCCGGAGGCGGTCCGTTCCAACGCCGCCCGACGGCTTCGCTAGGCAGCACGAGGCTCGCCTGGCTCCGCAGGGGAAGGGACGCTCCCGCGCACTCACCTCTAAGATGACGATGTCGTAGTCGCTGAAGGAGCAGAACTGCCTGGACCAGGAGGCGTCGTTCCGGATCACCTCATTAATGACGTACTCAAAATCCAGAGTCAGCTGCTCCACAGTCAGGTACTGGCCCTGCAATGGGGGTAGAGAACCCAGACGCCTCAGCAGCTGTTTCTCCCTAGTCCTAAGGGCCTGTCACTTTAGTTCCCGCCCTCAGCCCAGCTGTGCTAAGCAGGTGCTGGCTTTATGGCTGAGCCAGGGAACTCACTCCTCAAAGTCCAGTCCCACCCCGCCACGGGACTCCGCAGACAGGGCCCCTTTTCTCACCCCACAGCTCTGCGCTGAGAGAGACAGACACACGTCGCTAGAAACTTGGAGCAGCCTAAGTCCAACCCTGCTCCAAGGGCACCCGCTAGATTCGACTCCGCTCACCCATCGCCAGAACTGTGAACAAAGTTTGAACTGCGGGCTCAAGCCCTGCCCCCAGGCACAAGCCCATTACCTCCTCCGGGGCTGGCAGCCAGGTTAGAGGGAGGAGCCGCTTGTGGCGCTCCGGGGTGTGATTCCCAGCCCTGCCAGACTCCGTGTGACCGCGGGCACTGAGCACTACGCCTTGTCGGCTTCACCTCTCCTGCCCTTTATCTCGTCTGTAAGCTCGTCAGGGAGGAGCTGTCACGGGGTTTGTACAGTGCTTGGTGCTCTAGGGCCCCATCTCAACCAGAGCCTGTAGACCCCACACCAAGTCCATCAGCGCCGAGACAGGTAGGACGGGGGCACCTCTCTGGCTGGCAGAATCTTTTATGATCAACGGTGGGCAAAAACCACGGCACGGCTACGAAGCCCCACGGTGCTGAATTCAGCAGCCCTCCTCAGAACAGACCTGCTCGTGAGTAATCCCCCCACCGAGTGCTGGTCATCATTGCACAGAGGTGATGGGGAACATACCCCCATGCTGCAGATGGGGAACACGACTCGCCCAGTCACCTGGCAGCAGAGTCAAGAATGGACGCTAGATCTCCTGAGCCCCAGGCCAGCGCTCTGCCCACTAGAGCAGTGGCTCTCAACCAGGGGTCCGGGGCCTGCTGGGGGGCCGCGAGCAGTTTCAGGGGGGCCTGTCAAGCAGGGCCAGCATCAGACTCACTGGGGCCCAGGGCAGAAAGCCGAAGCCACGCGGCCTGGGGCTGAGGCCCTGAGCCCCACCACCCAGGGCTGAAGCCGAAGCCTGAGCAGCTTAGCTTCATGGGGCTCCCTGTGGCGTGGGGCTTCGGGCAACTGCCCTGTTTGCTACCCCTAACGCCGGCCCTGGCTTTTATATGCAGAAAAGCAGTTGTTGTGACACAGGGGGGCTGTGGAGGTTTTATAGCATGTGGGGGGGCCTCTGAAAGAAAAAGGTTGTGAACCCCTGCACTAGAGCACACTGCCCCATTCATACTTCCCTCTCCCAGCGGATCACTGGGTAACCTCCCCTCTCTTAGGGAGGGATCTGCCTCCAGCCCATTTAGAAGGTGAAAAATCAGAATTTTTGTGAACGTAGAAAGCGTTTGTGAAATCAGCGCGGTTCGGCCGCCTCTCTGGGGACGGCTGACTGGAGGTGGGGCAGCGTGGTCAGTTTTCGCCCCAGGGTGTTACTCACAGCTGCCCAGTTCGGAATTGACACCTTAAAATGCAACACTCGGCTCCGGACAAAGCACTGCATGTTGGGACTTGTAATCTCCATGGAGACTACATCTCTATGGAACAGCAGCGGCTGATGAAAGCTTTAAAAAGGACACCCACTTCTGTCTGCAAGTCTCACACACACACCACTGTTACGCCTGACACCTACGCTGACAGCACAGGGTCAGACACTACTCCCTTTGACTCGTGTATCACATGGTCAAATCCTCCATGTCCAGCAATGTGGCAAGATCGAATGCATTCAGCGGTAACAGAACATGGCTGTCAAACCCCCGTAACCGTCCGGGCGATCCGGGGCAGCTGCGGGAGTGTTAGCTCATTTTTTGAAACAGACTAGATTTCAAGCTGACGGTGTCCCTTTAAGTCCCCGCCCCCCACCCCATGACAGGACCAGAGCCCAAGGCCACGCCTGACCTGGAATATGGCTCTCTCCTTCAGCGGCTTGAGGTTTCGCCCTCTCAGGTCAGTTACGACAAACGGCAGCGAGATCTTGTCATCCTCGTACTCTGAAAGGGAAGGCAGCATGAGGCAGAGGCCACGTGGCTGGCGAAGGGGCTGGGCCTGTAATCCCAAGGGGTCCGCAAAGTCGCCCCCCGTGGAAGAGGCTTGGGAAGCGAGATGTCTGCTAAGGGAGCAGGAACAGAACACTGGTTTCAGCCCCCCTGGTTTAGTGCGATAGAGTCCAAAGAGTGGCTCTTCCTGCTCAGAGCCGCTCCATGTGCCTTTCCGAGCCAGCTTTGGTGAGCAGAGCTCTTGCTCCCATCAGCCCAACAGAGTCAACACAGCTCTGGGGGAACGAGCCAGATGCCAGGACTCCTGTATTCCCAAGCTCCACTACTTGGGAGTGTAGGACTGTGGGGCAGGGACTGGCTTTTTGCTGTGGGGTTCTGGCCCATGCCTGGGACTCCTAGGTGCTACCGTGGTACAAATAAAACCTGCCTTCAGTTACACCCGGGCAATGCAACTGAAGGCACCAGGCTGGGCCAGTGGTTGGTGGGGACAGAGATGGGACAGTTAAAAAACCTAATTACAAAAAGCTGGACCTGCTGACGTGAACTGGCACCTTCCCAAGAGGGACAAGGGCAATTAACGAAGGCCTCCATCCTTCAGTCAACATTACTTGGGACAGGAACATTTAGGCAAGTCAGGGAAGATTCTGGCAATTCAGCTGATGGATGTGCTGCAGACTCGTCTGGGAGAGCGGGGCGGGACTGTGGGGCAGGCAAGTGCTCCGGTCTCAGAGCCCCATTAGCCGGCCTCCTGCTCGCTGCGTCAGGGAAGAGACCGAGTGCCAGAGCACATCCGTGCCATCTGGTACGGGAGGGACTGCAGTGACGAACGTGACAGGACCAGAACTGCTCTGGCAGCCCGGGGCCAGGCGTGTGCTGTACCAAGGAGCTGAAGGAGGGGCCTGTGCAGAGACCGGCTGCTCAGGGCCCACCTACGCTGCAGCTGGCAGGGAGCCTCCCAGCCCAGGGCCCCAGATTTGGGGTAGCGGGGCTTGCGCTAGCGCTCCAAAAACAGCTTATGCTGTGGCTCGAGCTGGAGCTCCGGCTCCCCCGCCCCATCCCAGGCTTCAGAGCCTGAGACGTGCCCCGAGGCTGCTATGGAGAGATCTCCCCAAGGAGGGGACAGGGCCCCACTGGCCAGAGGCCCCTTCGGAGCATTACAGAACCAGTAACTGGGGGGAGGTCCTCAAGCCCACAGCACTGGAGGGATGGTGGAGAAGAGAAGTCCCAATCCATACCGTGAATGCAGAGCGGGCACAGCAGGAAGGTAAGCTGTGCCCTGCAGGGACCCCATACAGGGGCAAGGGGCAGTTCAGTCCTCAGCCTCTCCACTGAGGCTTCCAGCAAAATGGCCTCGTAGCCCTCGGGGATGGAGGGATTGGAGGGGAGGGGGGTGGTTTAGCAGCATGGAGGCCTGACTGCTGGGAACCAGAGGGAGACCCAAACTCACTGCACGGGCCGGACACTAGACCGTTAACAGCTCTCGGTTGCAATGCACGTAAGTCCAATTACAAGCAGACTGAGGGATGAAAGGACCCGGGCTCCAGCCGAAACCAGTCAACTCAGCCCTCTGCGCGATCCCCGCCCCTGCACCGAGAAGTGGATTGGCCTCCCCAAGCTCTGCTTACCGTCCTCCGGCTCCGACAGGTCGCTGGGCTCCAGAACATAGCGCAGCTTGGTGTAGTTGACGTAGCCGGGCTCAGCCGGCTGGCTCTCCATCTCCGGTCCAGCAAGGGGAGAATCTTTCGGGGGCTGATCCCCTTCTGGAGTTCGGTCTCCCCTGGGAGACGAGAGGCCATGATGCAGGCGGCAGTAACTCCCGGAGGGCCCCGAGCACGGCTTTGCCTCCCACGGTGCATCAGCAGGGGTGCCCTGGGACAGGGATCTGTGTGGGCCGGCTTCCTGGGCAGGACGGCACTCAAACCGGCCGCCACCCACCTCCTCCTCTTCCGCTGGGGCCGGGCCTTTCGCCTCTTTGGCCCGTCGGAAAATATCGGCCACAAACTCTTTCGCCTTGGCCACGGCTGGCGACAGCTCCATGGGTTTGACGGGGCTTTCCGGGCCCTGGGAAGCTCTGCTGGCGGGCGATGGTGCAGCAGCCATTCGGCAAGGGCAGCCATCTCTTTCCATCCGTTCCTCCACAGCCGCTGGGCCTGGCGTGGCCCCTGCAGCATCACAAGCCCCCACGTGGGGCGACTGGGGCTGGTTCCGTCTGTCATAGAGGATTTGGCAGAAGTTGCTGTCCTCTAAACCAGAGAGAGGTGAGGAAGGGGTTAAAGAGGCCATGGCTACACAGAGAACAGTTTCCATGGAGACATCCCTCAGCATTTTCCACTGGACAACTGGGAGCAGCAAGGTCTAGTGGATAGAGCCCCAAGTGCCCCAATACCAGAGTGATGGGCACGGCATGCAAACCATTCCCCGGGCTCTGCCACTGCCGTGCTGTGACTCAGGTCCCAGATCCTCACGTGCCCTCGTCAGACGCCAGCAGATACTCGGATGAAGAGTATTAGACCTCTGCCTTCGTTTAGACGTCAGGACTCCGGGGTCAGCGGTACCACCCAGCTCCAGGGCAATGCTTTCCCATCGGCGCATCTGAAAGTGCTTCACAAGCTTTAATGTATTTCCCCTAATAACCCCCCTGGGAGGCAGGGCAGGGGGGACCAAGGCAAAGAGGTCACACACGGAGTCTGAACTCAGGTCTGCCAAGCCCTAGGCTAGTGCACTAACCACTGGACCATCCTTCCTCTCATCAGGGCCCCACCACTGAATGCAATTGCTGGGCACATCATTTCAGAGTTAGGCTGAGATTCAGAGAGCCATCGAAGGGGGTCGGATGCCCACTTCCCATTGGTTTTAAGGAGAAACGAACACGAAAAGCCTTAATTCGCAAAACAGCTGCCCCCTCCCTGAGGCCGGCTCTCTGGGACCTGAAGATGCTTTGCAGACATTAAAGAACTGAGCCTCCAAAGCTCCTGCACAAAGGAGGCAGGTCCCGGCCGCAGAAATGTGCACACAAACGTGGAGTGACTCGCCCCAGGTCACACGGTGAGCCAGTGGCAGAGGCAGCAGCACAGCTGGGAACAGAACCCAGGAGTCTCAACTCCCAGCCTCCTGCTCTGGACTCTCGAACATGCTCGTAGATACACCAGGATTTCCCTAAAACAACACACAACTCAATCTCTAATATACTCCACACAAAACTCCCCGTCGCGCCAGCAGGGTGTGGCTTTCACCCCTTGGGCATTTCTCTGTCCCCTCATTTTAGCGGCAAGTTTCTCTGTAAAACGAGAGATTACACACATTGGGCTGGTCTCCTGGAGGAAGCCAGGACGGCTTTACAGTGCTTGCTAACATGGGTCCAGTTTACCTCTCCCAATGTCTAAAACGCTGGGAAACCAGCATGTCACGTGCTTCCAACCGCCCGTAGGCGAGTTAGAAAGACACTCAATGTCCCTGCATCACATTCTCACCTTTGAGGCCCTTCCCCTACGTGTCCCTTACATGCCTCCCCCACCTCACCCACCAAATCTCTGCTCCATTGTCAACTTCTCTCACCCAATCAGAATCGCAGAATCTCCTAGAATCGCAGGACTGGAAGGGACCTCGAGAGGTCATCTAGTCCAGTCCCCTGCACTCAGGACAGGACTAAGTATTAGACCATCCCTGACAGGTGTTTGTCTAACCTGCTCTTTAAAACCTTCAATGATGGAGATTCCACATCTCAGCACGTCCTTCCACGCTGCCCTTAGGTATGGGACACCCACCCTGGACCAAGCCGTTAGGGCCTCAAGGCTGCTCCAGTTCCTGGCCCCCAGGAACAGCATACGCTCCCATTGTGCCAGGCTGCGAGATCTGGACAACATACCTGTGCACTGCTCCAACAGCTTGCAATCAAGGATCTCAAAGCACTTTACAATCACCTATTAACCCTCGCAATGCCAGGGGGTAGACAGAGTGGATAATCGCTAGCTCTAACTTTTCAGCAGCAGATCTCAAAGCACTTCTCAATCCTTTTAATCAGTGATAGAAAGGGATTCTTTTTTAAAATCGCATTTATTGAAAACAGCTTATTTAAATTAAATATATTTTCTTTTAAAAAATACACCCAAGATTAAATTTGAAATGACAACCACCCAAGTTAAACCTAATCTCCCTATAATCTACGCAAATCATTTAAATAAATTAAAATCTGCTGTGTCAATGAGCTCTCCTCAAAGGTTCATGAGTTGGATTATATACAGTGGTGGTTTTCAACCTTTTTCATTTGTGGACTGCTAAAAAATTTCAAATGAAGGTGCAGACCCCTTTGGAAATCTTAGACTGTCTGTGGACCTTCAGGGGTCCGTGGACCACAGACTGAAAACCACTGATATACAGAATCAGGGGAAAACCAACTTTCTAAATATGTCAATTTCCTGTCCTGCACTAGGGGTATGTATTATTTTCAGTCTCTACTATGGGGCGAATGCTAGTAGGTACATATTTCTCAGATGTACATTCCTTACAAAGGAGGTTGGTATCATTCTTCCCATTTTACAGATGGGGAAATTAAGGCCTGGGAAGAGGAAGTGACTTGCCCAAGGTCAACCAGCAGGTCAGTGGTAGAACCAGGAGTAGAACCTGGGTCTCCTGGGTCCCAGACCAATGCTCTAGCCACTAGACCACACTGTCTACTACAGGGATATCAAACTCAAATGACCATGAGGGCCACATGAAGACTAGTACATTGGCCCGAGAGCTGCATCGCTGACCACCACCCTCCCCCACTGCCCCCGCCCCTGCCCCGCCCCCATTCCAACCCCTTGCCCAAAGTCCCCACCCCCAACTCCACCCACTCCCTGCCTCTATTCCAACCCCTTCCCCAAATCCCCACCCCTGCCTCCCTCCTGGAAAGCGCTAAGCACTGCCAAACAGCTGTTTGGCGGCAGGAAGCACCTGGAGGTAGGCAGAGGAGTGGGAACGTGGCGCACGGGGAGGGAAGGGGGGCAGCGGGTATGGGGAGCTAGGTGGCCACAGGAAATAACTCCGGGGAGGGCGGGCACGGGGAGCTTGGCGGGCCGCAGCAAATAACTTCGCGGGCCGTGTGTTTGAGACCCCTGGTCGTCGTCGTCGTCTTCTTCCTCCCTCTCCCTCTCCCTATATCTATATATCTATATATATCTATAAAAACGCAGAGGCTCACTCCCCCCCACCCCCACACTTCCTCTCCTGGTTTTCCTACATTGCAAGCTCTTTGGGGCAGGGACATCTGATTGTGCAGCGCCTGGCGCAACAGGCCAATGGGCCCTACCACAATAGAAGCAGCTATAAGACCATCCTTCCGTCCCTTGAGGTTAGTGCTTGAAACCGTTTGAAGCTGGAAATCCAAACCTCAACAAGGCCGAGGCGGTTGCTTTGTTCTTAGGTGGTTCAGCAGCTGCTAAGTGAGGAATGAGAACCTGAGGTCCAATGCATCTTGCAACCACCGAAGCCACGGAGTTTCCAACCCCTGGCCAAGCCACAGGCCTGTGGGTTGCTGAAAGCGCCACTCTTAGTAGCTGTGATGCTCAAGCCGGTTGCAAGAGAAGGATGGCAATGAAGTTCTCTGGCCTGTGTTATACCGGAGGTCAGACTCGATGAGCTAATGGTCCCTTCAAATCCAAGATGAGGGAGAGAAGATACCCTGGCTAGACGGACTAAACTAAGCAGCCGTTCCCACACATCCAAAGCCTCACCGCTGACCTTGCAGAAACACCCAGCAAGGCCCGGAATTCCAAACACAGCGTCTTCCCAGGAAGAAATCCACACGTTAGTGCTCTCCAATTCCAGCTGCCCCCAGAGAGGCGAGGCGCTTACCTGCGGTGTGTACGGAAACTGCACATGCTACGAGGGAGTAGCTGGTGTTGAGCAGCACCACCTGGTCCTTCTTGAGCTGGAAGGCTGGCTGGAATGTGGGGAAAGGATAGACCACCTGGTACTTTGTGTGCAGCATGAAGCCATGCTGCAGACAGTGGGCGTTTGGGTCCCCTGAGAACACACAAGGAGAGGGACAAGTGAGATCATCCCTGCCCAAAAGACGAGAACAGCTGGGGGGTCAGATACTGCTTGTCTCCCACGCGCTCAGTCCCAGAGTCACCCACATTGAACGTGCCTTGCACCTGGCAGGGTAAGAACATTTCCTTTACTAACACTAAACGAATCCCACTGGGAGTCAGATTACATTATCCTCCTTGTGCGGACCTATGGGGAAACTGAGGCACGGAGGATGAAAGCTTGCCCAAAGATCATGCGGCAAGTCAGTGGAAGAGCTGGCAAGAGGACCCAGGAGTCCCAACTGTCCCCTAAACGAATCAGGAGACCTCACTCTGTCCCGTCACCAAGTCTATCACCCCACCTTCGCCAAACCTCCAAGCGTCACAGCTTGCCTCCTCTGACCCCCTTAGGAAGATGCACATCAGCTTTCCCGGCGAACATATTCTCGACAGCTCGGGAACTGTCCCACTGGCTCACCTGGATGTGCGAGGGCCATATCCCTGCAGCCGGGGCAGTACATGAGTGGGGGCATGGCCACCATGCTGATGTAAATATCCCGATGGTTTTCATCACTCATCATCATCATGTTCATCAGCAAGCCGTTTGCAGAGCGTGTGCTGCCAGGGAGACAGGAGACACCTTTGGTCACTTTCAGAGAAGTTCAGGGATTCAAACCCTCATCTCCCTCTTTTAAACCCACATCTTCCATCCCTGATTTCTGTCCTAGCTTGCAAATCAGGCCTATTAGCCAGTCGTTACATGGGAGAGGGGGCAATGGGATTCTCTCTTCAAAGGGTTTAATCCAAACTGGAGCCGCTACTAAATTAAACTGTTATTTTTCCTTTACAAGAGCCTTGGGGCTAAGAGGCAGGACTGAATTGCTCTCAGATCTTTAAGAACATGTTTCACGTGCAGTGACATTACACAGAGCTCCCAGCCCCACTCCCAGTTACGGCTTGGGTGAGTAAAACATTAACATTTACTTTGATTGCAAGCTTTGTGGGGCAGGGACAGCCCTTTGGTTCAGTTTGTGCAGCGCCCAGCACAATGGGGTCCTGGCCCACGACTAGGGGTTCAAGGCGCTATCGTATCACAAATACATACAATGCAGAGGAAAAAAGCAAAAACACACACGTCTTTGCCAATCTAACACCACACAAAACTAAGTATTTACAGTCATTAAAAACAGATGGAGAACAAAGCAGGTTTTTTTCAAAACATGAACAAAGAAACAAGGGAAGTCAAACGGTTTCAATTGATAAGGGGCCTTTCCCTAAACTGGAACCCTACTGCAGCCTCTTTCGAGAGGAGTTTGTATTATGCTAACCAACTGCAGCAGATGCACCCCACCTGCCTCTCTTATTTGCCAGGTCAGGGCATTTGGCTCTTCCAACCTTAGATTCAGCTCAGGAGGAGGTGGGAGAGTAACTGAGCCATAGTTCTCCCCTTAATATCCCAAAGCACCGCTTCCCCACTCCTGACAGCCTTAGACACTCCATCTTCTAGGGCTGGGGTGAGCTGACGGTGTGTGCATGCACGCAGGGAGAGGCTGAAGGGAAGGCTTGGCCTGCGCTGACCAGGCTGCACCCAATCTGTGGACAGGACGAAGACATCAGTTTCCAAGGCTGTCAGTCCTATACTTGTGTGTTAAGTGAAGTATTTGTAACTATTTTAAAGAGGCAGGAGTGTATCACCCAGAAAGCTCCGGGAGGAGGCTGGCGGCAGCAATGAAGAACTTGCTATGGGTCCCTCAGCCTCCCTTAACCTTTTATGGGGGGGATGTGAAGTTGGGAGCGTAGGCGGGAACTCAAATTCTGTCCAAATCACTCCCTCATCCCCCAAGACAAGACTCATTCAATGGAACTCACTTGAAGCCAAAGACGATGACCTTGGAGGAGTCACTGGGCCATTCACACACAGTCAGGTAAAGGTCACTATAGATTTCTTCATCTTGAAACAAGCGAACCTGTCGTACCTATGGGAACAACAGAGCACATCAGATTGAAACCTGCTGTGAGAAAACAGATGACCAAGCAGTGGGATCTGGAATTAGAACCCCCACCAGATAACTGTAGGGCCTAAGTTACTTGGGAAGGTCTTTTAAGAGGCTTAGCCCTGGTCTACACTATGAGGTTAGGGCGAATTTAGCTGCATTAGGTCAATTTGATGAACAATGTGTCTATACAACCAACACCGTTCCGTCGACCTACACAATCGACTGTATAAAATCGTTTTCTAAAGATCGACTTCTATAAAACTGACCTAATTTCATAGTGTAGACATACCCTTAGCCGAGATCAGGTATTCTCTGAAAGATGTTTGTTTGGCACAGAGAAGATAGGTGATTTTACATTTCAGATGCCCCTTTCACTCAGGAGGGTCTCAAAATGCTTTATCGTTACAAACTGATTACATACAGGAATCACTGCATACAGCTGCCTCTGGGGTGGAGCATGACAGTAGTTTGACAGTGCACAGCAACACTGCACTGCATTTAGCACAGGAAGAACTGAAACCGTGGGGGAAATTTAGGGAGGCAAAATGTGATGAGCTGATTAGGGATCTGAGGACAGCAGCCCCTCAACTCTAGCAAAATGCACCCGATCAAGGCGTCAGTTTTATGCCTTGTTTAAAAGGTGATGCCTCTTGCACCCTAGTACCTCCTACAACCGGACTGGGCAACAGTGGTCAGTCCAGCACCCTCTAGTCTCATACAGGGGCAATGACGCAAAGGAAAGTGTGTCCCCTAATGAATCCCCAACCCCCCTTCTGGGTTTTCCTTTGAAGTCTCCCTTCCAAGCACCAGCCACACCTAACCCTCTGGATCACAGCCCAAAGGGGGAATATCTGTAGGAAGTGGGTCTTCATTCCTTGTGAACCCATTCACCACGCTCAGTTGCTTCGGGAGCTTTCCCTCCCCCAGCGCCAGACTGGGGGCATCATACGTACCAGCTTCAGCTTGCTGTGCACGTTGAATTCCCACCAATAGAGGTGGTAGATGTAGAAGGAGAAGTCGTCGTCGCCGCTGTTGCTGGTATAGGACAAGACGTACCTCCCGCACTTGGAGAAGCCGAGGAAGATGTGTCTGGAAGATGAGCACAGGACTATAGGTCAGCCCAGAGCACTCACATTCGTTCACATCCCCATCTCGCCAAACTTGCTGGGCATGGAAACTCCCCATGAGTTTATCTGCCCCCCCCGCCATGGAAGTCAAGCTGAGAATGATGGATGGCCCTGCCAACCTGCTCAAGAGAAATGCCACATCTTACCCTGCACACAAGAAATCTTCGTCCACAATATTCTTCAGGGAAACGCACACCCTTGGGGGGAGCTTGCGGAAGAGGCGTGGAGAAAGCTGCCCGCTGATCTGGAAAGAAGGGAAGTGTCAGAGGCTTGAGGGTACATCCAACAAGAAGCGGGCTCAAGACATCCCAAAACGTGTCCTGAATTGCTGCCCGTGGATGCCTCCTGCTTGTGATCCCAGCGTGAGAACGGAGCTGAGCTAGACAAGGGCTATATGAGCAGATATCGGAGTCAGGGGTGTTTATTTCTGGTAACGGTGACCACAATAGTTGCTGCCCTGGGGCTCTCCTGACACGTCACCATCGCAGCCCCCAGGGCCGGGACTTTTGGGGCAATGGCTGCACAGAGCAACCTCGCTGCAAAGTCAGGGCAGCAGAACAGAGGCTGACATAGAAAACAAGACTCCTGGGTCAATGGGGTCTAATGAAGTGGGGGGTGGGGGGGGAAGAGGGAGATGTCGGGAGTCAGGACTCCGGGGTACTATCCCCAGCTCTCTGCTCAAGTCATTTCACCCACTTCTGTAGAAACCCACCCCC